AATGGATTGAGACTATTAATTTGATTGAGAAAAGATTCATTCTACATATAATTCGGCAATTGACCACTCAGCTAGCCTACTTCAGACTCACAGTATGATGGACTACTTTTATGTATAATGGTGACATTATTTTTTATTTATTTGCTATCTTAATCACTTTGTGATTTCTTTTCCTCTAGTTGCAGACATTTCATATTGCTAAATCCTGCAGAGAAGTACAGGACTTAACAAATGGTGTAGCACTGGCATATGTTCTTCATGAAATGTAAGTTATTATTATTTTTCATTACTGAACATGCATGCCACCTGATTCCCATTGACTCTGGGTGACTCACAACAGTGAAATTTCAGTACAATTAAAAAGAAGGAAAAAAGTGACAAGAATGACAGAGCAGATAGAATGAAGCAGGGAATCTCAATCCCCTCATCAAAGGTGTCATTGAAGAGTCAGGCCTTCACTGCTTTTCTAATGAACAGCAAAATAAGGAGAATACCTCATTCCAGAGGGTAGATGATGCTACAGAAAAGGTGCACTTCTTCCCAATAGATGATATTGTTTAGTCAAAGGAATTAGAAGTACCAGTGCTGAATCAGTCAGCTCGATACTATGGGAGACAAGCAGTCCATCAGGTAACTTTGCTAAATGCCAAGTATCAGTAACAGCCAATACCTTGACATGTACCCAGAAACAGTCTGACAACTAGTGCATCTCATGAAGTAGAGGTATTAGATAGGCATACTGGGTGGGCAAGCTGGAAGTGAGCTTTTCAGGCCAAACAGGGAGCTAAATCTTGAACAAAACACATTAGATAGCTAGAAGTGAACCATCTGCCAATCATAATTGCTTATTTAATTTTACTCGTGGGGGATGCACACATGCATTTAACACTTTTAAGGGCTTTGTGTGTTGCAAAGTTTGACAACTCTGAATCATTTTAAATGATCTGAATTATATTAAAGCATGGACTCAGTTAAATGAAAATAAATTTCGGAGAGGCTGTTAATTATTAAAAAGAATTCTTAAATTAATATCATGCATTACCTTATTGAAAATATCATACGTTACCATATTACTATATGGGAAAACAAATAGGGAGAAAGTGACAGTTGCAGAAATTGGGCCACCGTAAGAGACTGGGAAGATGGAGGAGATAAGAGCATGCTCAGATCACTTGTAGAAGTACAAAACAATATTTAAAACATATGGAAAACCCTGAAGACTATTATTCTATCCATTAAAAACTGTACATAGTTATCAACTTTACAATACCATAAATATTGGATGTCTGTTGAGTAAAAAATAGAATTAGCTTCTAGAGACTCTATAAAGTTTATAGAACTGAAGAAGGGTGTGGCTGATTAGCTAAATTCCCAGGGAGAAACATTCCTTGCTATAGAGGAAAATAGGGGATTTTACTTGCAGTTAAATTTAAATTGCAAGTTGGAAGAAAAGATACTGCTTTAGTACTCTTCAAGGTTCTTGTCACTTCATAGCTATTCTGGGGTGCATATAGTAGAAAGCCACGTGCTTGTCACCTTTCCGTTTTCAGAAACCTCCCCTAAACCGCAAAGCACTATATCACTAGATATAGTCAAATTTGCTTTCCACATAAGACCTCATTATTTACTGATTAATGCAGAAAAACAAGATTGAAACTGACCGGTGAAATTCAGTTTCACCACCAAAAAAAAATTAATAGAGACTGATTTTATTTCAGCGATCCTGCCTGGTTTGACAAAACTTGGCTAAGCCGTATTAAAATAGATGCTGGTGAAAGCTGGAGAATAAAGGTAATGGATTTTCTTATCGATACATACAATATTTACATAGGCTATAATGCTGATGTTAAAAATATAAATAAACATAGTTTAGATTATTTGATACTGCTTGCATGTGATTCAGAATATTCCTAGACCAAACATGCTGTATGTATCATTCTGCTTAAACTTCTTTATATCCTTGGGAAAGATCCCAGATAAGAACAATAAACATAGAAGTATCAGATTGTGCATGGGTTTTTGTTTTTCCTATAGATTAGGTTGCTGGATTCTTTTGAGGCTATGGGTTCAAATAATAACCATGACATCTGTTGATAATGCATCTGAAACCTCTAGATCAGGTTCAGCTTGGGTGAGGTTGGTGGGAATTAAATAGGACTTTACTGCCAAAAGTACCAACGAGGGGGAAGATGCATTGGCCCCTCTCGCACTTCAGAAAGTGGGTAGATTGGGCTCTCCTGCCAGAAGGGCAGTAGACTGATCCCTCCTATCATAGCCATTAAAGGCCTGGTAGACTGATCCCTCTAAGCCATGTATGCATTGTTTTTATTTTGAAGGCAGTTACTATTTTTTTCCCAATTTACATATGGGCAGTGGATTTTCACAGGCCTGTTTGATCCTCCAGAGCAGTTAATTGTCCATTCATGCCTTAGATTACACTACCATAGAAAAGGATTCAATATAATGTTTCATAATATAACGGAACACAAATAAAGCACCTATTTTCTGATAATTGGAATAATTATGTGATTTTTGAGGCTCACAATGCTGCTTTCACAAGTTGCATCTACCTCCACCTGCGAGTGCGTACATAGCTATGTTGCTTCTTTTTTATTGAATTCTATTTTATTTACACATTTTAGTTCATGAATTTACATTGTTACTATAAATGGATTGAAGTATCTAATAATACCAATTATAAACAACATATAAAATCCTTTTATAAAATATAGCAAATGTTTCCTTGAAGCCTGACTGGAATATATTAACAAATTCAATCCATCCAGGGGACCAACTCCTAACTGACATTGGACAAACATTTTATTTGAAGGATGACTTGGATGGCTTTGCCTAACATTATTTCTCCATCAGAGTTTTACCTCCTACACATCTGAAAGACAAGCTTGAGGAAGAAATAAAGAGATGAGGAAATGTCACCATAATAGACCATAGAATGTTTTAATTTGAAAGTTTGAACAAAATATAAAACAATTAAACATAGCCAAAAAGGCATTAAGAGTTGTTAACCTAATCCTATGTAGCTTTTTCTCTGGTAATATCACACTACTAACCAGAGCATACAAAACATTTGCTAGACAATACTCGAATACAGTTCATCAGTCTGGAACCCACATTACGTATCTGATATTAGCACAATTGAGAAAGTCCAGAAATATTTCACAAGAAGAGTTCTCCACTCCTCTACTCGTTGTAGAATACCTTATGCCACCAGACTTGAAATTCTAGAACTTGAGTTACGCCGTCTTCGGTCTGATTTAAGCATGGTATATAAAATCATACATTGCAATGTCCTACCTGTCAATGAATACTTCAGCTTCAACCATAACAACACAAGAGCACACAATAGATACAAACTCAAAGTTAACCGCACCAAACTTGATTGCAGGAAATACGACTTCAGCAATAGAGTGGTCAATGTCTGGAATACTCTACCCGACTCTGTAGTTTCTTCCCCAAACCCCAAAAACTTTAACCTTAGACTGTCTACTATTGACCTCACCTCTTTCCTAAGAGGTCTGTAGGGGGCGTGCATAAGCGCACCAACGTGCCTACCGTCCCTGTCCTATTGTTTCTCTTATTCTTCTTTTATTTTTCTTATATGTACCCATTTCATGTATTCACAACTATGTATACACTTATACTTATTATCTTGTAAACAATTGGCAAATCAAATAAATAAATAAATAAATAAAATAAATTCAATATTTTCTCTAATAAATAAAATAACGTTTTCCATTCTAAAGCAGACAAAAAAAATTTGGGGTGTGCATCTGCTTGCTCTATGAAAGTATTGTGTTACATTTTGTTTTTTACTTTATTCCCTGTGCTTGGATTTATCACATTTGTAAAGCTAAATTTTCTTTTGGTAGAGTCGATTTTGTAGAAATTAAATTTGTTGAATAAAGATTGCATTTCAAAACGTTAATTATAACTTTCAAATATATGAAAATAGTGTATTCTCACTCAATTGTCATTTTAAATATTTTAGGCTAGCAATTTGAAGAAGATTCTTCAAGGAATTATGGATTATTATCATGAGGTATGAAAAACCATACTCTGTAAAATATGCTTCTTTATCATCTTAGTTATAAATCTCAGTTTGTAGAATATTTTATCTATTATTTTCATGTCTACTATACATGTAAAACTTCCATGGATGAGCTTAACTTTGCTGTTCTATTACTAGTATTTTGTTCCATGAAGACTTTATAAGTTTTGTATTTATTTGAAAAAGAAAATATTTTTTAGAAAAGTATTTTTGTTTTCCTATCTCTTCCCACTTTAGATGCTATGTTGTAATGATCAATATTCGGTTTTTTAAAAAAGTTCAGTTGCAGTACTTATTACTGGTGAATTTCGTAACATTCATGTGAGGTATAATATGAATGAAGAAATGTCCTCTGCTATAAAAAAGCAATTCTAAAAACTAAGGTTTACTCTCCTTCCAAAGTATTCTAACTAAATTTGTTTCTATTGCGTGAGGAGTTGGAATAGGCCAAGTAGTCTCAGCCTATCAGATATTGAAGCTCTGTGGGTGACTTTGGGCAAGTCACAATCTCTTGAACCAACCGGTCCTGACAGGGTGGTTGCTGTAAAAGGAAAAAAATAACTGCATGTGGTGTGAGCCTTCAGGAGGAAAGCTGTGATATAAATTCAACAACAAATCCCCCCACATTTCATTATAACATAACTTTGGGCTTCCTTCAAAAAATTTTTTTTTACAGTTTTTGGCTCAGCAAATCTCAGAAGATCTTCTTCCTGATTTAAACCAAATCTCTGAACATTCTAATCCAGTAGAGCTTGGCAGGTTATTGCAGCTCATTTTAGGCTGTGCAGTCAACTGTGAAAAGAAGCAAGGTAAGTGTTCTTCTCTGAATAAACAGCTCAATTTGTCTTTTATATCAGTGAAACCGAAATATTAACTCTTTCATTTCTGGATGAAGCAAAGTTTTAAAAAAGTAATATTTAGACTGTCTAAATATTTAAATAGGCTTGAGAGGTGATCTGAAGTATGTTTTTGGAAAGTATGCAATACATGAAGCAGAATGAATATATTATTAACATAGAAATTTTGGTAAATATTTTTAAGTTGCATTGTCATCTAATCATTGCCCAAGCAGGAGAGAGCCAAGCAAGGAAAGCAAAACGAACCCCTTCTGGTTCACTCCAACAAGAGAAGCATTAGTACTGTATTCAAGTGATTGGTAGCTTGCACTTGAAATACTTGGGGAGATGATGTATCTGCACATTTATGGTTATAGCTATGTTGTCCAATCACACCCACTTCATGTTGTCTTGGAAAGTAAATTCCCTTTGAAAATTAACTAAGCCTGTTTAGAACCAAAAGCACAGTTAACTTTGGCTGTATTAGCATGCCATACCAATGTATGGTTTAGTATATCTTGAGTGGCAGTGTATTTATGTGCTCTCCTTTCCTATTGGGAAGCTGAATTCTATCCAATTGGCAGATACTGTCCATCAGCAGATGGATTTTGTTGGCTGCAATGCAAAGTATGTTGCTTAAGATCTTCAGTCTATCGCAGTAATGCAGAACTGGAGAATGCAAGATAGCTAAGATTCAACTACAGAGAGGACTTTAGAAATGAACTGCAGACAAGGCTGTCCATTTATGTGTCCTGGGTCTTTATTTGTTGTGTAGGATATCTCATTAAAAAAAACTCTTGCTTTGTAGAACATATACAAGTTATAATGACACTA